TCACTGCTTTCAAGCACTGCGTGGATTCTTGGGGATGCAGAGAATAAATAAGAAACAGTACCCAACCTCAAAGAGCTCATAGGTTAGAGGAAGAATCAGAAATATAAACAGGTACAAACATTACAGTTTGATATATATGTAATATATACATTTTTTAAGTCAGTGCTTCAGAAAGTGTGAGGTTATCTTAGAGTACTTTAAGCACATGCATTCCAAATTGAGTACAAAACATAAGCACATGGTTAGCTATGTTACTGTTTCCAAATGAATGTAATGTAATAGCGTTTTGGGGTGTGTTTTCTATAAAAAAAAAAAATCTCTCCTGCCCTTTCAGCTAAATGGACACTTGAAGAAATAAATTCACTGTATACATATTTTGGAAGCACCTACAGTAGGAATAAATATACTACAACTATCAAAGCAAGTTTTACAACATAATCAGAAAGGAATACAGGTATTTCAAAAAGAGGCATTTTATATTCCCATTTACATGGGAAAAAATAAGACAGCCACAAATTATAATGCCACGGGTTTCAGCTGTTCTATTAGCTTGAGCCATGCAAAACTGCCAATATTTGGACTGTTTTTGACCTACAACAACAGCAGTTTTAACCTAATACCTTACTCTTGTCTTCAACTTGCTGTTTAACCATGGACACATCAGTTACTGATCATTCAACAGCAAGGAAAATGAGGTGATGGTGAATGTTGCATCACAACCTTACAGAAAGGATCAATAACTAAACGTTCATCCAAATCACTTAGAATGCTACAGAAATAGCTGAAATGAAGCTAAACTTAATCAATCACCCCAAATAAAGTTTTCTTTCCTTCTAAAATGGCACCAAGTGGTTTCACATCAGTGGGTTCAAGAAGACACATTAACCATCACGCTGAAGATACAAGATTACAGGTACCTTTGATAGCAACCCAGATAAAGCAATTGTATTTTAGTAGTTTGGGTTTTTTTTTTCTTTTAGACTTGATGAAGGATTTCTTCGTCATGTGCAAAGAACAAACTCACACCTTTTAGCATAAATAGTTGAATCCAGTATTGATGCCAATCAGTGAATGACGAGTTACACAGACATAAGGTGAGCAACGGGGGTAAAGACAAAGAGACGAAAGGAAACCCCCCACCTACACACCAATGCTTAATGTGGCCGAGACTATAAATGTGATTGCTTTATACCCTCAGCCTGGCAACCTTTCATAGGTAAGCATGATTTTTGGAGCACAAAATTAAATGAAACAATCACTGCGATACTGTCATGAAAGCTTAATTGTTTCCATTCCAAAGACCTTTGCATAAGGAAAGAAACGTTACACGCAAATCACTCTCTCAGGAACAAAATATACAAAATGGAGAGTTATAGTTTTAAAGCATCACCTACCATGAGAGTTTTGAATGCTATGATTGCTTTCAGAATGTCTTGATGATCTGGATGAGTATCCTATCAAAGGAATACATTTGAAAACAATATTAGAAGAGAACAGATCAGTAGTTGCCAGGAGTTGGGGGGCAAGAAGGTGTGGCCACAAAGAGATAGCAAGAGAGAATTTTGGGAGTGATGGAACTGTGCAGTATCTCAATTGTGGTGGTGGCAACAAGAAACCATACCTGTGTTAAAATTTATAGAACCGTGCACTAAAAAAAAAGTCAATTTTATGTATGCTAATTTAAAAATTAAAAAATAGAACAGCAGTTGATCATTTGGAATCTCAACACATCCAATTATTAGGTTATTAAGAAATTAAGACAGGTGATCACACATGATATATTTAGTAACACAGCAAGTGTGGTTATTGAGACAACAGTTCCCATTTCCTTTTTTTGTTATTACACTTTGGATAATAAATATTTAATAATAAATATAGTAACTAAATAATTATTTGGGGGACATCTTTAGGTCATGTTGTTGGTAGATGATAGGAGGTAGGGAATTGTGGAAACAGAGGGATAGTTAGAGAAAAATCAATCTAATCTCATTTCCTAAAATGCCTCCATTTTCTCTCAGCAGTATCAACATGGCAGATGGGAAAAAAATTCCAAGTTTCATACCATGTGCTCCTTCTTAAGCAAGGCTTTTACATACCGTCTTCAGTTCCATGGTACTTGCAACCCTGAAAAGTGGACGGGTTCAAAAATGGCTTTGAGGAACCCACAACTCCGTAACTGTTTATGAAGGGAAGATAAGTATTCTTGGGGGGTAGATGTGTCCCTAACACTGGGGCATATGGGGTGTGTAAGTGTACCTAACCTTGGGCATGTATGTATGCCTAACCCTTGCAACTCAGCAAGAGTAATGGGAAGACCAAATCTCCTGCTCGATTAGGCTCAGGTGATAAAATACAGAAGTGAACAAATTAGGTGTCTGATCCAAGCCAAGGATGGCATTGCTCATGAAAAGAAACGTTGTACTTCTTTATAGTAAAATTTATCCTTACCAAAATCAGCTGACAACTGAGAATTTCAGGTTCTATTCTACTGTTAGCCAGAAGCCATGACCCATGATCAGAAATCTGGAGAAAGTGTCTTACCCGGTGCTGAACTAATACTAAGGGTGTGTATTATCTGATAGTGGGAAGTGAAAGGCAGCCAAAGACATGTGATCAACAGCAAATGGAGGCAGGAGTAGAAACAGGTTCCACTACAGGGAAGGCCGAGATAGAGGTGTTCCAGGCAATAGGAACATCTGGGATTTTTTTTCTCCCCTAACTAAGTGCATATTTGTATTTCAGCACTGAGCAGTAACAGAAACTGAGGCCACTAATTTCCGGATTTTTGTGATAAGCAAGGAGGGGGAAACCTCAAACGGTTCAGCCAACAGGTTTAGCTTATGGAAAGGCATCCAGAGGTCAACACCTTCCCGAGCCCTAACTGAAATTTCATTCTGGCAGGCTTTACTCACCAGGTCCCCACTGCCTCCAGCTTTCAGGCAGGTCAAATACCCTGAGAATGTGGTTTCGCTCAGAGTACATGCTTTCAATCCTTACAAACGCTGGCAAGCCCTGTAGAATGCACCCTATTTCTTTAAAGATAATCAAACCCTTTAAAACCTCAAAACCTTTCCCCAGACACAGGAAGAGCAACTAGGGTAAATGCAGCCTTCCCCAGCGGGCCCTCCTCTCCCACCCACGCTCAATCCCCCATGCACTACCGTGAAGAACAGCTCGAGGAGCTAGTGCTGCTTATTGGCTTTTAATAACAAGAGGATTTGGGCTCTTGATGAGAAAATATTCAATTATCAGGCCTCATTGCAAAATTTTAATATTTAGAAAGCACTACAGCTGTGCCACAACTGTCGTGAGTAAAGTGTAATTGGATAAACAAAAATGTGAGGGGCCTTTGATATAGATGCATCGATGCTTCGAGAGATACCACTAATATTGTATCCCATTTATTAATCTTTCAGGAGTACCAGAATCTTCCATTATAATCCAGAGTCAGGAAGCTGAATGATCGCAGTGCTCTAGAGATAAATATTCCTGTACATAATGAACATGTTCTTTGTTTTTCTGATATGGTTTGCTTTATCTCCCACAATAAAGTTGGTTAATATACCAAACAACAGAAGATTTCTTGGTCTGATTTTGACTGAAACACCTTCTACAGATAAGAGGGCAAAAGGAAACCTAATTCAACAAGTAAGCACAGATTTGAGGGAGGCAACAGGATCGAAGCTTGGAAGAGAAGAGAGGGGAGGGAGAATGATCATGAACATTTGGTAAGAACGAACGAGATCTTATTTTGCTTCATAAAGAAGAAAATTAGAAGCCTGAAAATAGGGAAGATCAGATACAGTAAATTTTGAAACCAAGGCATATTCTGGATTCCTCTGCCAGTCTAGTTTGGCGGCAGACTGACTGCTTCCTCCAGATCAGAGGAACATACTTGGTACACGAGCTTGAAAAAGCACACCTTCCCTTACCTCCATATGCCGTTCCAACTCTTGCAAGAGAGTAACATACTTTTCCAGTCGCATGAATGGTTTGCTGAGGCTTGTTGTTAAAATGAGGATACCTGGGCTAGATGCACCTTGATTTTCCATAAATTTTTCCAGATCATCACTAGCAAAAGAATGAATATAGTTTTGTTATTGCTGAATATCCCATGTAAAGAATTATCCATATGTTGCTGGATTTCACACAGTACAAAACCAAATAAAAATGTGTTTCACTAGTCCAAATGCTGTTCAATCCATTTCAACTCAATTCAATTGGCTTTATTCAGCTTCCGCTATGCAATCAGCACTGTGCCCAGCACCAGGGCTCCAGTGGTGAGCCAGACACTAGTAATCCCTGGTGTCATTTACTCACTCAACAATTACTGATTGAGCATCTATTAAGGGACAGGCTCTGCTCTCTGATGGGGATACGGCAGCAAACAAAAAAATCCTTACCATTAAGGATTCTGCACCCATGGGCATGGGGTATACAGCCTACCAGATGACCTCAACCTAAGGTTTAAAAAATAGATTTTCTTAATCACTTCAAACATTCTAGTTACTGGCTGGTCAGGTGCCAAGGGTAGCAATTCACCAAGTGCTCCCTATCACCCACTTGTAATGTCCTAGAATCAAGTCCTACATTCAGATAGCAGCATATTTGCAATGACTAACCACAAAGTCACTCAGCCTGGGATCTAAAACCAGTGCAGCAGATTACCCAAACCCCTCCACAAGGCAGCAACCTGGTGAAAAAATTTATTAAAATTTTATGAACCATGTCCTATAAATGTCTAATGCTAGGCTGGTGCTTTCTCTGCCATTTAGCACCCTTCCAGATTGCCTCCTTTCCACCAACAAGGGTGTCGAATCCTGGGGCTGCAAGATCATTTTAATACACATTTGAGCAAAATATTATTAGAGAAGAAAACCCACTGCTTAACTGACAGCAAATTTTGAAACTTTGCTTGATCTCCTCCTTGGTTGGTCATGCATATCCAGTCAGTCACAGGTCTTTCTGGATCTGTTTATTCCTTTCCATTCTCACTGTCACTGTCTTAGTTCAGGCCTCCAGCTCATCCCACCTGGCTCACTTCAATAGACCAAATGGTCTCCTGACTTCCAGGCTTTTTCCAGGCCCTGCAGACCACCACTTTCGTTGCATTGCTATCCCACTCAGGAAGCTCTGAGTGCCTACAAGATCAAATCTTAACTTTTTACACTCCTACTGGCCCCACCAACTTTTTCCACCTCTCCACACCAGGACCCCCTACTTTAGAGTGACCTACTTATTCTCCCTAGAACACATCAGACACCGTGGTTCCCAACTGTGCTGCGTTGCTATAGGTTGTGAAGTGTGTTCAAAGAAACCTGCTATCAGTAACAAAATACTAGGGGGCTGGGAATGGAGTGGATTGCAAGTTATCCCTATTAATAATAGACACTGTCCATCCTTGGGCTTTTGTGAGCAGGAGAGAAAAGGAGGTAGTTTCAGCTAATGTACCAGCAGCCTTGAGTCATGCAGTATCACACATATGTCAGAGGAAAAAAGTGCTGGGAATGGCTGCTTTAATGAAAGCTAGATCATATCTGAGCGGTCACATCTAACAATCGCCTCTGACCATTTTATCAGTTTTTGCAGTCTTGTTCTAGAAGCCGCTGAGGGGAGAGAAGTGCCCTAGACTTGGAGTCATAAAACAGATTTGGTGACCCTGGATGAATTACCTGAGCCTCAACTGAGTCATCTGTAAAAGAGAGATAATACCTACTTCCTAATGAAAGTATGAAGATTAAATATTAGAGTTTTTAAGGCTACTATTTCATGCTAAGAATTTTACAAGCATTCGTTCTTGTTTAATATTCACAACAACATTTCAACACAGATATTCCCCCCATTTTACAGATGAGAAACCTGAGACTCAAGAAGGGTGAGTTAACAGCTAGCAAGCGGCTAAGGTGGGATTCATACCCAGGTCTGAAGCCAAAGCCTCAGGTCTTATCATGATACCATACTGCCTCTCTACAGGAAAGTACAGTATTTTGTAAACTTTAAAGTAGTCAATAGATGCATTTTTATTTCTATTATTATAATTATTCCAAACAAATACGTCACTAACATCACATCTTTAAAAACTACCAGTACCTGTGATTTCCAACTTAATGAAAATTGAATTGATGTTTAATTTCCAACCAAGAGCGTACAGTGCATAAAGAGATTTAAAAATTCATGGCACATTAAATGTAATTATGGAAATAACTCAGATTTGGAGAGTGCATTTGAGTAGAAATGTAATTTGGAGAAAATCACTTTCCTAATTTCTTTTCAATTTGGTAAACAAGTCTTATTTTTTTCCCCATGACTAAATAACTGCCTGCATCCTCGACATTCTACTCTAATTGATGCAAGAGTTACAGCAATTAAAAGCATATGTTAATGTGCACTTTGTTATTACTTTTCATGCAGCAGTCTAATTTCTAGGTTTGCTAAATATTATAAAAAACTCAAAAAATTTTTCAACATAACATGAGATCACTATTTTAGATTAAAACACTGGTTCTTGGAAAGAAAAGAAAATTTTACTACTGCAAAAAAAGAACAAAACTGTCCTATAAAGCCCATTTATCTATGATAAAATAAATTCTAGGCTGGGCGCGGTGGCTCACACCTGTAATCCTAGCTCTCTGGGAGGCCGAGGCGGGCGGATTGTTTGAGCTCAGGAGTTCGAAATCAGCCTGAGCAAGAGCGAGACCCCGTCTCTACTAAAAATAGAAAGAAATTAATTGGACAACTAAAAATATATAGAGAAATTAGCCGAGCATGGTGGCGCATGCCTGTAGTCCCAGCTACTCGGGAGGCTGAGGCAGGAGGATCGCTTGAGCCCAGGAGTTTAAGGTTGCTGTGAGCTAGGCTGACGCCACGGCACTCACTCTAGCCCGGGCAAAAGAGTGAGACTCTGCCTCAAAAAAAAAAATAAATAAATAAATAAATAAATTCTAAAAGACACATTTTACTTAGCCAAATAAATTTAATACACAAATATTGTTATACCAAAGAACAATCTGTCTTTAAAATACAGTTTTTATACAGCCCGTTCAAAATGGCAATGGGCTAAGATCTGCTTTTCAAGCTTAACATGTTCTGTATATGGGATGTGATACAATAGAAGCAGTTCTCAATGTATGAATGCTGTTTAAGCATTGTTTAAGCTGTTTAAGCAAATGTGCTTCATGGAATGTATGGTGGATGGGGCTCTGGTACAAACTGGGTTGGGATGGAAAGCTGAAGAAAAAACTATGTACATTATAATAACACTACAGAGCTTAACTATCTCATATAACAGTGTTTCTGTGGAATCTTTATATAGATTTCTAATTTGAATGTTCATGACTCTACCTAGCAGAGGGAATCACTGTGGCCCAAATGGGGAGACCCGGGCTTCTGACCAGTGGAAAATCCCAGGGGTGCTGCTCACACTGGGTTGGGTGGATCCCTGTTTTCCTTTTTATATTTATCCAATTCCAGAGACATGACTGTCTGCTCCTTTTTTTTTGGATGAGCCAGGGTCTTGCTCTGTTGCCCAGGCTGGAGTGCCATGGTATCATCATAGCTCACTGCAGCCTCCAATTCCTGGGCTCAAGTGATCCTCCTGCCTTGGCCTCCTAAAATGCTGGGAGTACAGGCGTGAGCCACAGCACCCAGCCTGTCTGCTCTTTTTTTATCCCCTGCCACCTCTGTTTGTGAGTCTCACTTGCTCCCTTCCCTGGTTCCTCAAAGACAGAAACAGAACATAACCGAGGCTCAGAATTTTTCCGATGCTCCTTGTCCCAGAAGCAAGTCTACAATTCTTTGGGGATCTCTCAAAGTCTTCATTGCTGGCAACAGTGGTAAACAGAGAGTGAAGAAAACTAACAAGAGGAAAAGAACGCAGTGCTGCTTGGGGTTGCCACCACAACAGCGACAGAAGTGAGGTCCAGATAGGTCTTAGAGCCAACTCCTCCTCTCCCTGCTCTCTGTGCTGACCCTCTCCCTCATGAAAAGGATGGATACGACACCAAAGCAAGCATGGGAGAGAAGTGGGTATTTTTGTAAGGGAGAGGTAATTCCCAGGAAGAAACAGGAGCTACCACGGTAAGCCGGCAGGGGACAGACAGGGGAAATCCCAAAGGACCTTACCCCCTGGGATAGCAAGAGATTGCAGCAGCCATTCAAATATATGCAAATATGCGGACACACCAAGGTTGGGGTCTGATGACATATCCAAATTCAGGCAATACATTACAGCATTTTTAACAAGGGACCTGCAGGCAACCATACAATCTTAAGGCTGAATGCGGTTTCATGGCCAATTGTTGGGAGCATTTCTAGTGTGGTGTTGCCACCTCCAGGCCGAAAGGAAGAAGTTCATCTGAACGTCGCAACTTCAGCGGGGAATGAACAGATACCAACCAATGTCCCTATTTCAGCTGAAACCTTGACGTAAAACAAAATTTTAACCTGAATTTTCTGTGAATTTCATTCAACTATGCCTTTTATTTAATATGTCATCATAAACTACTACAAGATACATGTAAAATAACTTAAATTATATTAGAAGCACATCTGATGAAAACCTCAAGTATTTTAATTTTTATCCCTTACAAGTAAATAAACCAGTACGGTAAAAATTTATTTCTATGAAGAGTCCAGTGAGTCTTCCATCATTTCAAAGGATATTATAAGATTCTCAAAAAAATACCACCAACCAAAATCAAGTAAACAGGGTATTATAATTCCCCCAAAAGTTGAGAATATTTAAATCACCTGCGTAACAAACTTTAAGTCATAATGTTGGACTTAATTTTATTTATAAAATAAAATTCCCAACATAGGCAAATGCAGTCAGTAACATTTTAACACATAGAGTTACAACAGAAACTCTGTAAACATCACAGAAAGTCTGCCATTTGAGGTAAACTGTGTCTTTCTGGTATTCATCCAGAATTGCTGTTCTCACATCAAAAGGTAAAGAACATGTGCTCATATAAATAGTGAGCTAATATGAGGGGGATTTCATTGTATTAGCATTAAGGAATTTACCCTTTAATACACAGGATGTTTATGTATCCATCAAAGGAAAAATGTGT